CCTCTTTACCTGTTAATGGATTAAAGGAAGCTGGAAAACACAGGGCACGGAACAAATGATTTTATGGAGAAGTCAGTCACCCGTGCAATGTTTCCATAAAACACAACCTCGGAGAGTTCCAGCCCCAGAAAGGCTCCAAACAACAACCCCACGTTTCCTTGGGTTTGGACTCCTCAGTGGTGGCACTGATGGCAACAGAGGACTTTGCCCTCTATAAATACAGATTAAGCAGCAATCTTTTTATTGGTCTTCTGTTGCTGAGGTGTATCTGTACAACTCTGATACGTCATCATCCTGAAAGCAGGAATTTAATCTGCACCTCCAACACTCCAAAGCCAGAGAAAACACCACCCTCAAATCCCACTTATTTGGGGTTTCTGAAACCCCTTCTCAACTCCTGCTGAACTGAGGCAGCCATCCAGCAGCACTGATTATTGTGCACAGCCTGCACACTTTTCCTCAGAATTTCTCCCAACTAAACATCTCAAAAATGACATTTGATTTGAACATCTCTCAGCAAAGTGAGTGGCCCAGTAGATCCAGTGATCAGGCCTTGCAGTACAGCCCTGATACAGAGAGGTGGGAGATAAAGCACTGGGGCCTTAATTATGCCAATTATTAAAAACTACCAACTCAAGGGCTTACAGCAAATTTCATCTGAACACAGCCAAGGGAGCAGGTAATGACTCAAAGCTGCTCCTGAAGGGAAGGATGAGGCCTGGAGCCCCAGGGAAAGCAGCATCCTGAAAACCTTTATTTTATTTTATTTCTTAAACAGGAAGTGTGAAAACATGGAGAACAAAACATTCCTGGGTAAGCTCCAACTGCTGCTTCTCATTCCTCTTTAACTCTGGGCTTGTATTTTGTTAGAAATGCAGCTAAAACAAAATTCCTATTCTCTCTGATCTGCAGCCACTGCAGAAGGCAGGAGCCAGCCCTGGGGGAGGAACATCTGCTCCCTGTTCACAGAGAGAGGGCAAAGAGCAGCTGCTGAGCATCCCAGCATCCCTGAGCCTCTGGGACAGCTCCATCCCAACATCCCAGCATCCCTGAGCCTCTGGGACAGCTCCATCCCAACATCCCAGCATCCCTGAACCTCTGGGACAGCTCCATCCCAGCATCCCTGAGCCTCTGGAGCAGCTCCATCCCAACATCCCAGAGCCTCTGGAGCAGCTCCATGCCGGCAGGGGCAGCCCGGAGCAGCAGCAGGGTGTGCCCAGCCCCTCCACAGCTCTCTGTTAATCCAGCATCGCTGCACGCAGAGATTCGCTGCTGCTAAACCCAAAGGACCTTCCAGACCCGGGGCAGTCACTGCTCATTCCCAAACGGAATGCAGTCTTCCAAGTCTTTCCCAACGTTCTGGTTCCCTTTACAGACACCTCCAGGGACAGAGCCCTGCGTGGGGCTCCTGCCGTGGAGCACGACCTTCC